TATGTATCTTATATATATTTCTTCAATGTATTTCATGTATTCATAACCATATTTATACCGTCCCTGTCCTATTGTTTCTTTTTATTTTTCTTATATGTACCCATTTCATGTATTCGTAAACATGTTTATACTTATACCGCCCCTGTCCTATTATTTCTTTTTATTTTTCTTATATGTATTCATAACTATGTTTATACTTATACCGCCCCTGTCCTATTATTTCTTTTTCTTTTTCTTATATGCATCCGTTTCATGTATTCCTAAGCATGTTTATACTTCATACCTCTTACCCTACAATCGCTTGACCAAATAAAAAGAAATCAAAAAATAAAAAAGAAGCGTCATCCATCTTGACTTCAGGAAAGCAAGCGGGGGAACGGAAAGAGCCGGCTGGGCAATTCTGGGAGTTGAAAGTCGCCAAGTTCTTAAAAAGTTGCGCTGGAGAAAAGGTTGTGGCTTTTGGGGAGGAGGGAGGGAAAGAAAAAAGGGGGGAGGGAAAAACCAGGCCAAGTTGCTCTTAACAATTTTTTTTTTTTTTGGAGAAAATTTTATTAATTTTTAAAGACATACAAGAGATGAAACCTAAGGACATCAAACCTCTTTCCTGAACGTTATTTGTAAATTTGAACGAAGCAAAGGAAACATTTTATACACCATTGGCACATCTCCTTCTCGACACCTACATCTCCTTTCAAGTTTCTCATTCTTTCTCCCTTTACTTTTAATTCAATTTATATTTCTTTTCTCTATTTATCTATTTGATACGTTTTTATTCACTATCCCTATTTTTCCTTTCTGGCTTGCTTTATGCTCTTCTAATCTTTTATTCTCCATTGTCCTCTTCGAACATTCCTCCAAGGTTTTATTAGCTCAATCAAACACAAAAACACAAAACATAAAAATATAAAAAAAAAGCCTCTTTTCTGAAAGTTGCTTAGTCCCGGGTTATAACTCTTCTTACAGACAATAAATTCAAATTCATGTTCATTTTGTATACCATTCCATATCTTATTACCATGTTCAATTTTCTATATAGCTTCTCATCTCTTTGAAACTTTCTTAGTTTTATTTTATAAAAAATAAATTATTTATTTTATTTTATTTTATTTTTGTATCTCATCTCAATTCAAATCATAATATTTATTATTCTTTGTCTGTTCTGTTTTATCCATTTATCTTTCTTCTTTAAACAAAACTTCTCCTGTACATTAATTGGAGTATGACGCCTTTGTCTCTTTCCCCGACATTTATAATACTTATATATAAAATACATAACTTACACTGGGATTCTGTTTGGTACATTCCAAAATTATACAATATTATCAATGCCAATGCAAATCTATTCACTAATATTAATATTCATTGATATCTTAGACACTTCACACGTTACTTTTCAATTAAATATCATACTTTTTTTTTTAAACAGTTTATTAGTTTTTACAATTAAAAACAACCAACGATACATACACAAATAAACGAGGAAAAAAAAAAAGAAGGAAGAAAAGAAAGAAAAGAAAAGATTGAAAAGAAAGAAAAAAGAAGGAAGAAAAGTTAAAAGCATTCTTATTTTTACAGTTTGCAAGATCTTTTTTTTTTCATAGCCTTTGATTTATGTCATATACACACACCTCTTCTATACATATATCGCTATCTCATTATTATAGGTTAATACTTTCCTCTTATGCCTGATGGTATATAATTTATCTTTGGATCAATCCAATTGTACCAACCATTCCAAGTATCATAATATAGTGAAGTATCTTTGTTTTTTTAGTGCCAAAGTCAGTTTGTCCATTTCTGCACATTTTGAAATTTTATCAATAATCACTTCATCTGGTGGAAATTGATGTTTTGTTTTATTTATTTATTTATTTATTTATTTGATTTGCCAATTGTTTACAAGATAATAAGTATAAGTGTATATATAGTTGTGAATACATGAAATGGGTACATATAAGAAAAATAAAAGAAGAATAATTGTTCTTTCCAATATTGAGCGAAGGCTAATCTGGTTAAGATGTGTATTGTTATGTATTTAGCTTTTTTTTGGAAATTTGTTCGTCAAAGATCCCTTGCAGGAAGGACTCTGGCTTATATTCGATCTGCTCTTTTGTCATTTCTTCCAACCAAGTTTTGATTTTCTTCCAGTAATTTTGGGTTTCTGTACATGTCCGCCACATATCATACTTTTATGGGAACACCGATTTTCCATAGTTATTTCCCCCCACCCCCCAAAAAAAATCACATATTTTAAATCATTATTTCATTAGGATGTTCCCCCTTCTACTTCAAATCTCTCATTTCACACACACACACACACACAAATTTTTATTTTTTAAATAAAGCAATGACTGAAGAAGGAAGTGCCTTTGCTCTTAAATCAAAACTTGACACCCAAAGGACATGTTCTTCTTTTCGACCGATGTCGTCACACGGGGTGTGGAGACCAGACCTGTCGCATCGGTCAACCTGGGGTGACACGCCGTGTAAAATCGACGGATTAATGGCTCTAGCGAGAAGGAATGTTGTTGGGCGAGGAAGAGAGGAGGTTTCCGACGTGGCCCCGGGCAGGTGTGGGATCAATGGAAGAAGGTCACCACAAATGGAGAGGAGGAGGGGAACTAGGTGCTCCGGACGGCCGAGACCCAGCGCGTGGCATTGCCAAGTTCGGCCGGTCGACGACGTGACAACGGAGTCCCGGACGGTTGCGGTCTTTTTGGGGGGGATATTTGGACCTCGAGGGACCCCCCCGACGCGTCGTTTTGAAATCCCGCGGAGCGGAGACCCTGGGAAAATTCCTTCCCCACCTCATCCCAAAAAAATGTCTGCAGGAAAATACCCCCCCACACACACACACCCCGTCTTCTCACCGATCGATCGTTCTTTATTTGAGATCGTCTCCAGCGAAGAGGAGAGAGAGAGAGAGAGAGAAAGAGAGAGAGAGAGAGAGAGAGAAAGAGAGAGAGAGAGAGAGAAAAGAGAAAGAGAAAGAGAGAGAGAGAAAGAGAGAGAGAGAGAGAGAGAAAGAGAGAGACAAAAGAGAAAGAGAGAGAGAGAGAGACAAAAGAGAAAGAGAGAGAGAGAGAGAGAGACTTTGGGCTGCCTGCAAGGAAAGCAGCAGATGCCGCAGAAATCTTTCTTTCTCTCCCCCAAACAGTTGGAGAGAGAAAGAGAGAGAGAAAGAGAGAGAGAGAGAAAGAGAGAGAGAGAGAGAGAAGAAAGAGAGGAGAGACTTTGGGCTGCCTGCAAGGAAAGCAGCAGATGCCGCAGAAATCTTTCTTTCTCTTCCCCAAACAGGGGGAGAGAGAGAGAGAGAGAGAGAGAGAGAGAGAGAGAGAGAGAGAGAGAGAGAGAGAGAGAGAGAGAGAGAGAGATAATTATAGAATGATAGATGTTAGATAGAGGATAGATAGATAGATAGATAGATAGATAGATAGATAGATAGATAGATAGATAGATAGATAGATAGAGATAGATAGATAGATATATAGATATAGATATAGATATAGATATACATATACATATAGATATATTTTATTCAGCTTTGTTCGGGTATTTTCCCACGTCATTGTAGTTGTGCTTTTAAAGTTGTAGCAACGTTTCGGCAGAATCTCGTCTGCCATCCTCAGGCGTCTGTATTGGGTTCGTCTGGGAGTCAGACTTTCACAGTTGTTCCGTTTCCACGGTGAGCTCAATTTTGGGGTGTGTGCGCTGTTTAGGTGTGTTAGGAAATTGTTTAGCCAAATCACAAAGGTGTCCTCGAGGTATCTTCACCATCGTTTGGGTTTGTGGGTGGCCAACATCGACCATGGAAACGGAAACAAACAAACAACTACCATTCCTAGATGTAGGTGCCCTCTGTGCTTGGTTGGTTTCCTGGCAGAAGTTTTGTCACCCAACTAGGGAACGTTACCAGTGCTGGAAGGGAGGGGGGTTTAGGGAGAGGAGGAGGGGGAGGAGGAAGAGGGGGGGGGGGGGGGGGGGGGGGGGGGGGGGGGAGGAGGAGGAGGAGGGAGGGAGGAGGAGGAGGAGGGCTGGGGACAGTGCCAAGCCACACGGAGTAGGAGCGCTGCCTAGGCAAGTCGCAGCCTGTTGAATCTCAGGGTCCTCGGAGGGACAAACTCGGGAGGGGAGGGGGGACTCTGGGCGTTTCCTCAAAAGAGAGAGGGGGGGGCTTCTCCCTTCTGCTTTGCACAGGTTCCTCGTCGGCCCATGGCTCCCTCCCGCCTCCTCCTCCTCCTCCCCCAGCTCCCCCCCAGGCCCCGAGCCTGCCTGCTTTGGGCTCTGGCTCTGGGGGTCCTGCTCCCCCTCCTCTTCCTCTTCCTCACCTGGCCCTGGGGCTCGGGCGGCCCCCCCACCGCCCCGTGGAAGCTGCACCTGCTCCAAGCCAGCCCCGAGCCCGTGGCGGCCCTGACCGACGGCACCTTCACCTTCTACCTCAACCGGAGCGTCTACGAGAGCCTCTACCCTCACCTGCAGCTCTACAGGTGCCGAGAGCTGATGGCCCAGGATGGGCTGTGCCAAGGACCCTCCCGGCTGCCCCTGTTGCTCCTGGCTATCAAGTCCCACCCGGCGTCCGGCCTGCGGAGAGCCACCTTGCGCCGCACCTGGGCCCAGCCGGTGGAAGTGGGGGGCTTCCGGCTGCAGCCTCTCTTCCTCCTAGGGGTGACGCCCGACCCGAGGCAGCTGGCGCTGGTGGCGCGGGAGAACGAGGTCTTCGGCGACATCCTGATGTGGGATTTGGGGGAGTCCCACCACAACCTCTCCCTCAAGGAGAGCTGCTTCCTGCAGTGGGTGCAGGGGCACTGCCAGCGGGCGGCCTTCGTCTTCAAAGGTAAGCGGGGGGTTGGGCTGGATGACCTCCAAGGGTCCCTTCCCACCGAACTCTGTTCATCTGTGAAGCATGAATCTCTCGTTGGGGATGGAGGTTGGCTGCCATCTGTCACAAATGGGGGTAGGGTTTCCTGCTGGGGTGGGGAGGAGGGGGGTTGGACTAGATGCCCCCCAAGGTCCCTTCTGACTCTGTTAATCTCATCTCCTCTGGAGCA